TAAGATGTGGTCCACCATGGGGTTTACACTCCTAAGGCTTTTCTTATTGGTGTTTTCACCCAACACATGAGTCACCAAGGTAGTTTTCGCCCAACACATGAGTCACCAAGGTATTTTTCGCCCAACACATGAGTCATCAAGGTAGTTTTCGCCCATGGTGGGGTTTCATGTTACAATCCTTTGGAAATTTGTTTAATATATGCTTAATTATTGGCTTGTCATTCAACCATGGCTCTTCAAGGCTTATGCATATACCTCTATATGTATAGCTTATAAACTTAATGCTCATATGATTTTCAAATGTTTTATTGCAATATGGTTATGTCTTACATTGTGGATATACTTGTATTCAAGACTCCTTAGACTAGGTTTGACCCAAATTTTCTAGTTGTGACAAAATCAATGTACTTTCCATTGATCAAGGTCCTTTGCTTTATGCATTCAAATGAGAACTCATTGAACTCACATGCATAGTCAAACTAACTGGAATAGGCACAGAAACAAGAATATGTCGACACGATAGGTTATAAACCTTAACTCGTGTGCTAGTGATAAACAATAGGTTTATTCTTGATTAGTTCATGAACCTATTCAGGACCATTAAGACTCCCACTGACCTCTTGACATATAAGATTCTCCGTCAAGGACATTTCTCGACAATCAAATATTCAAGAGTTAGTGTGAGTTATTATCAAGAAAAACACTTCACATAATTGGTCTTAGTTGGTATTTGTCTTATCCAAGACATCACAATTACCAATTTCAAATGTGCAAGAGTAAGACACCTTTCACATTTCATGATTGGTTATAAACCTACTTAAGATATGTCACTCAAGGAACAATCTTGGAGTATGACTCTAAAACTTGATTTTGGAACGAAGTATGACTCATCCTTTTGATTTTAACCATTTTAACAATTCCCGATACCTCTCCTTAGTCATATAAGTGCACTAAGTGCACTAAGTATGACTCATCCTTTTGATTTTATCCAACTGAAACTTGGGTGATGAGAATATTTCCTTATTTGGTAAATTTTGACACCACCGCAAACGAAAGAAACATATCCATATAGAAACATACAAGCATCAATTTTCACAAATGCCATTGTAAGGAATTATAAAATAAGATAAAATCAAAAATTTTTCTTTTTATATAAAAATTGCAGAAAATCTTGTCCTTACAATGCAATTACAAATGAAAACTATGTTACTACATGTTGCTAAGCAATCTTTCATGACTCCTAAGTAGCAGCTCAAAAATCCGATCATCGAACCATGCGATCGACATCCATCTCTTCGCAATCAGACTCAGCATGCTTTTCCTTTAAGATTCCTTTCTTTTCATTGATCCTACAAAACATTAAAATGTGATCTTATCACATCATGTATTATGAATCTTCAAATAGGAACTTAATAGAGTTAGATAGTGGACTTACCTAAAGCAGAGTTATACACTCTGACTTTACTATCCTCATGATCCTTCAGGTAGATAAGGCAGCTTCGCAACCAATGCCCCTTCTCTTGGCAATAGAAGCAAACAGATTCCTTTGGAATGGCGCACGGAACAATCTCAGACTTAGCCTTTCCCTTTCCCTTGGGAAGAGAAATCTTTTCTGGACTTCCAATGTTTCCATTGTCAATGTCCATGGAATTTTGGGAAGTAGATCTTCCAATCAAATTTGCATTACCAGTGTGCCAAATCATTATTGATTCAGCAGCAATTAGCAAATAGGTAAGATCGATAAGGGTCACGTCGTGGTCTGTCACATAGTAGTCTTTAACAAACTCACTATATGACTTAGGAAGTGATTGAAGAACCAAGTCAATAGCCAACTTCCTCGAGACAACGACACCCAACATTATCATCCTGTCAATGTGTGACTTCATCTCTAAGACATGTGCACACACAGACCTTCCATCTTCATGTTTGCTTGCCAATAGGGCCTGAGTGACCTTGAACTTTTCAAGTTGGCGAACATGTAGGTCAGGGAGAATAATTGGAGGAGGTGGAGGAAGAGAAGTTCCACTACACCATGAAGAAGGGATTAATCTTTGACCTCGATTGTCTTGTGGAATATCATCTTTATAAGGAAACCTTTTTCCAAAAGGATAACGTAGACCATAGTTGTCAGAACTAGACATCTACAAAGGGAGAAATTCAAGTTAGTTGATTTAAGTCTTTAATATAACACCCAAAATGGAATATTAAGGCTAGGACCCAACACAATATTCTACTATTCGGAAGAGGGATGCCGTAATCCAATTGTAAAATATTTGAAGGTAGGTAAATGACGATTTACCAATTTCCACCATGAAAAACGAAAATGAATATTAGGTTTTAAATGAATTGAAATTCCTAGATTCTTTTGAGATTCATTGAACTTTTCAATGGCACGTTTAATCTCGATTATGCCCTTCAAGTTTGTGACTGGGATACCAAGGATCACAAACAAGGTGTGAATAACCATGCAAATTAGCTTGGTACTCTCGATGTCAATAACCACCAAATCAATGTGCTGGTTAACCATACACGTTCCATTGATCAATGATAATTTACAAAAAACCCATTGCCATCCTTCATTAGTCCACATTAGTGTGTCGGTTAACCACACACGCTCCACTAATTGACCAATAAGGTGCAATATGCAATTTCATGGATTAGCACCAAATTCACATTTTTCCTAAAGTAACTAAGATTGGGAATTTATAAAAGGTTTAGTTACTTTATTTTTCATTATACTTTTAATGAGGATTTAAATGTCTTGTCAAACCCGTTCGGCTAACGACCCTCCACTGGTCAAGGGTGCGGTGGGTAAGAATGGATACCCAATGGCGGTCATTTTACAGGCCACTTCCTTAAACACCCCTTATAGACCAGCTTCGTGAATGAGGCCTACTAACAGTAAGACTGACTTTTTTAACTTATACATATTTAATATATTAGACTTTTAATGTTATATAGTATAATGGTGTATTTTATACATTTAAAATACCAGGTGGTTTAATCTATTAATTAAACTAGACTTTTAATTTAATTAAACTCAAACCATATAATTATGGATTTATTAATACTCTTTTAATTAATCTTTTAATTAATTATCAACAAAGCCATAATTAAACTTTTAAGTCTGAATTTAAGTTATGAAGCCAAGAGATTTAGAATTTAATATTTCACAATTAAAACTTTTAATCAAATTTAAAATTCCAAAACTTGAGAGCAAGTTTTGAAACTCTTCAAAACCTTTTAGATTCCTAAACTTGATAGCAAGTTCTGTAACCTTTCAAGACTCTTGAATTCCATAACTTAAGGAGTTAACTTGATTCATGAATGAGACTTTTCAAGTTCCATAACCAGAGGACAAGTTATGAAACTCTTAAAAAATTTTAGATCAATTTAACTAATATTTTTTTTGTAACTCCTTTAAAAAACTTTTGAGTTCCAAAACTTGATGACAAGTTTTGTAACTCTTCATAACATTTAAATCAAATTTTAAACTAATAAAATAATCATAATTTTATCTTTTCCCAATTTGACCTAATCAAGTTCATATAGCAAGACAATTCAAATCAAAAATTACAAATAATTTGGCTTATCATATAAACTAACAATAATCTTGAAATTTTGACAATTATCTTTTAATTGGATGAGGATAATCATTACCATATCATAAAAAACAATTTTTATAAGTCAAAACAGTTTGTGGTAATGATCCTAATCCAAAACCTGGCCAGAAACTCGAAAGATCTGCCAACAGACTGCCCAACTGGTCGAGTCAGGCTATGGACTCGTCGAGTTCATCTCCATATCATCCAACTCATCGAGTCCACTCATGGGACTCGTCGAGTCCAACAGTCAGACAGCATTTTTCCATTTTTTCAACTTTAAACAATTAACCGATGCATCTATATAACACAAAACACTCATGGCTCTGATACCACTGTTGGGTTTTATGTACTATAACACTTTTGTGGTGCACATACAACCCTAATGCTTTGGATCTAAGTTTTCTCTAATTATACATGTAATATTGTTTTTCCAAAGCATGAAGCCTAAACTAGCATACAACTTGATATATGAATCATAAAAAACTAGTTAGAAGATTACCTCTTGTTGTAGCTTGTTTGTATTTGGCCTTTAAGAGCTTAGCACCCCAAGTGTGATGCCTCAAATGTTTAACAACACACCAAGAACAAAAGGAGGCTTGTGACAGAGAGGGTAGGAAGCACAAATCGGCTAGTATTCTTCTTTACAAGTGCATGAACCGATTTTAGGGAGTTAGGGGTTACTTTTATAGCCTAGGGTTTCATCCATGCAAACCCTAATTCACCATGACTCTTCACATTTTATAGGCCTTTTGGGCTAAACCATCATAGACTCTCATATAGGTTTAGTCCAACCCTAATCAACATGGATCATTGGTCCAAACTATAAATATTACTAATTTACCTAATCAGTCCCCGTAAATTTAATCAGTCTCTTTTGATCACTAAATTAATTCCAAATTAATTATTGATCAATACTAATTAAATAATGTGACTTCTCAATTAATATATTATACTTATAATATATTAATAAATCACAAATAACCTCTTTCTCAAATATCCATCCTATCAAATTGTTCCAGTGAATTGCAACCCAAATGGACCATGTTACTTTCGGGTCAAGTACATACCAATTATAGTTATGGGCTTAGACACCTAATCCAACAGTGGTGTGATATCAATGGTGGAGACGAAGATGACGGTAATGACAGTAGTATGTGATATGACCAAAGTGCACCAGATCTGAGATGTTTTCGTGTTTTAGAGAGGGAAAGTGAAGTTGAAACAACCTCGTGACTCTAGATCTGAGATTAGTAGCGATCGACGGTAGATCTGGAGGTGTTTTCATCAGATCTTGGCATGTCTATGTTTTCGTTGGTGGTAGGGTAGCTAAAGGGGAGAGAGAGTCATGCTGACATTAATGGATGAAGGTAGTTGATTATTGCCGCTTGTCTGAGCTCATAAATCTGGAGGAGAAAACCATATAACTGAGGCCAATATTGTAGATATGCAAACAACCGGAGCTTCTAGATCTATTGGAAGTTGTTCACCAGTGGTAGGAGGCGATGTCGGTTCACCGGCAGTACGAGGCGACAATAGTACGGGGGTAGTGGTTGGTGGAAACTGATGGTAATATTTGTGTTCTTGAAGTTTAGTGGGAGAAGATTTATTTTCTTAGAGCATGTGAGATAAGAGAGAAGATAATCAGGTGAAAGTGTGTGCGGTGTGTGTGAATCTAATGTAATAAAATATATAAGTGAGTTCTAGTTTTGTGTTATTTACAATCATGTCACTCTTTTTATTTTACTGTTTATAGACAAAAATACCCTTTTTTATAAGTTTTGTAAACATTTTTTTGCAGAAATGACGAATGCACCTGTAACACCTCGTTTTCAGTTTAACTATTTAATAGAGGAATATAAGTACAAATACTAATAATAATAATAATAATAATAATAATAATAATAATAATAATAATAATAATAATAATTGAGAAAATGAGTATTTGAAGGAATTGTAATCATATTCCAGTTGAGGGACTAAAAGGGGTCATGTTAGAAACCTTAGAATGTAAGATTCTTGGTTATAGGAGTTGTTTTGTCATTAGGGATAATTTGGGGGCCAATTGTGTAAAACATGAAATTGGCCCATCTCATGGACGTGTTTAAGCCTCATGATTAGCCCCATTTTGTTGCAAGCATCGATCCATCTAAAATAATGAGGAGGGTCGATCCTTAGCAAGCAAATAAAAAAAATCGTGTGCAAGTATATGTGTGTGTATGTGTCTTGGAACATAAAGAGAAAACAAGAGGGGTAACAGTATGATCGGAAGAGAATAGTGGGGAAGAGGAGAAAGGCTGGACCGATTAGGAGGAAGGGTGAAGGGTTAAGATTTTGGTGGTGTTGATTGTTATCCAAGTAAACATCTAAATCAATTCAATTTTTTTTCTTCTTCGGGTCAAAATCCATATCACCACTATAAGCCACCATGGCTACCGACCATGGACACCACTGGTCACCATGCTAGGGTGGTAGTGGGTGGTGTTCCATGTAGTTGTCTTCTAAACATTGGATGAAATGGCTGAAGCATAAACTCTAAATTTGATGACTTTGATGATTTTAAGCAATGTACTTTGTTTTCCTTTTTAAATCATTGTACTTTGACTCTTGGATTGTAGTTCAAATTGGCTTTTTTACTCAATGAGTTGTTGCTACTGTTAAGAGCTTGAATTCCAGTTTTAAGAGTCTTTGGTTGGTGACTTAATGGGTTAGGATACACAAATTAACCCAAAAAGTAAAATCTGGAAATAATATGAAAATACCTATTATGTCTCTGTTTTGTGAAAATTGTAGAAAAATCACAAAGAGTAAAATTTAGGATCCGTAAGTTCCTAAATTTCAGGAATTGAGTCTAGTGTGTCCATGATTTTTTCTGTTAGGATTGAAAACCTTAATGATCAATTAGATTCAAGAACACAACAATGATTCAAGAATGTCGAATGATTAAATGTCACGCCTCAGAAGAACTCGATGAGGAATTGCTATTGTAGAGGCGTGATTAGGGTTACAACGTAATTATCAGAGTTATTAAAAATACGATGCATGCATGCACCTTAAATACTCTAACCCTAGAAATAACTACAAGTGGACAGGCCCAACTCGTTAATGCAAAAGACTAAATAAAAAGGCCCAATGACGCAACATCTAATACCCAACAATCTCCCCCTTTGCGTCAAATGAGGCACAAAACCATTAGCCTTGGATTCGCTTCTGCACTTCATAAACCTTCGGAATCATATCAAAAATGGCCTGGCGAATCTCAATGTACCACAAGACCATATCAGAGAAGCACTTGAGGTCATCCTTATTGTTGCCTTTGTATTTGCTCACCAAATCCAAATATACTCGAGGAAGGAAGTAGTGTACAACTGCTTATCAGAAAGGAAGAAGCAACCTTTGCGAAAGTCTGCACCAGTTCATTCCCTAACTGAATAGACAACGAACCATTCTCCACTGTAGATCTTCCCCAGCGTCAACTTTCGAAGTCCTTAGGAGTTTCCTTGCGAACAACAGAAGGCTTCTTTCGTAGCACATCAGCAACCTCAACATCCATCTCCCCGATCTCTTGAAATCATTTGCTTGAGATGAGACATGACAGGTTCGTATTTTTCTTGTTCCTTCAGCCGCATGTTGTAAAGAATGAACCAGCCATTGGGGTTAAGACATGGTAAGTCCGCGAGAGTGAATTCGAAGCACTGGCTGGCTGAACCTCTGGCTACTTTGAACTTCGCGTTCGGAAAGCTATCGGTCTTAATTGGCCCTGTGACTTTCTCAGCTCTTTCCTTTTCTTCAGCCTCCTGGATGATTCGTTGGTGCTCATCCAGTTTAGCTTCACGAACCTTTCGCCTTTTCAGTTCTTCTTCATCAGGCACTTCTTCTTCTTCATTATCGATAATGGGCTCCTCACTGAACAATTTTTCCTTGAGCTTAGGTTCTTTCTTGACAACAGGATTGACAGAAGCTTTGGGTTCTTCTTTCCTTGACCCACTAGACACACCTTCTCCCCCTTGTTTCTGATTAAGGCCTTGATCTGAAACACCTTCTAGCCTGTGAAGCATGGCGAAGACTGACCTTAACTTCTATGCAAGATGCTTGCGTATTGAGATTGTGATCATAGAGTCCCTGGTCTCAATGATATCCGAGAGCATGCCTGTAACATCTGAAATACAGCTTCGCATGATAGCCCTCTCAGATAACAGATCATTGACCTGTTTCTCTGAAGTGTCCAACTTGACACTCAATTCCTTTACTTCTTTTGTCTTGAGGGCAAGAGAGTCCTTGAGGTTACTCTCCTTTGCCAGTTCGTCTTGAAGCTTTGAGATTTGAGACGAGATGGAGGTTTGAAACGCTTCATGGTCAATTATCAGACCAGTGCGAATCTCTTGCAACTTCGTCTTCTCAGTTTTTAAGAGAGAGCCCAGACTCTTCAAAGCTTCATTTGTTGTCGTGGTGTTGGAGTTGAAAGTGGTTTGGAAGTTCTCCATGAAAGCAGTGGTGTCAGCAATTAGTTTATCGACTTTTTTGGTCTTAGACTTGCAAACTTCAGCCAAATCAGCAACTGCTTTGTTCATCTTCTCAGCATTGGTTGTATGCTCCTTTGAGATTCGTTCAAAGAGTGACTCAACTATGGCGTTAGCATATGAATCAGAAGAGGAAGCCTTGGTAGAGAGAATCAAATTGTCAATCTTTTAATGAAGGTACTGAAGTTGCCCTTTCGTAACAGTCACCTCATCTTCACTCTCAGTCCAAATTTGAAAAGGACTATAAGTAAACCCCCCAAGATCTTTGTCTTCATGATCACCAAAGATCATATCTGAGTCATCTCAGTTACGAGGGGAAACAGGAGGGAAAACATGGGTGGAGAAAACTGAAGTTTTAGCCCTCGTATCAAATACGTTGACTGAAACAAAAGGTGGGGTAGAGGTAGTCAGAGGAACTGTAGAATAATTAAACAGTGAGATGGAGAGAGGAACGCTGGTTTGTTGTTGTGAAGAAAATGGTGGTGGACATGGTGCAATAGTGATTGGGATAGAAGTGGTTTTAGCTGAAGGAGGAGGAGAAGGAATAGAATCGTTAAGAATTGGAGTTACCTCAGGATTCGATTTCTGTTCTTCATTGCGAACGGTATCATCCTCGTTGTGAACATCCTCGTTATGAACTTCCTTGTTGAGAACGAGATTATCCTCATCAATGCGAATGTCTGACTGAGTATCAGACTCCGAACCTTCGCTGTCACTTGGTGTGGGAGCCTTTCGCTTGCGAGCCAGCTGCTTTCGCCTTTTGGGAGCGGCAGTAGAAGTTGTCGTTTGTGCCTTTCGTTTGGAAGGTGGTTTCGTAGTTACAGATGGTCCTTCCTTTTCAGTGGGTTTATTCTCTCCCTTTTTGGAACCTTCCCCCCCCCCCCCCTTTAGTGGTTTACGAGCCTCAGCAAGGATAACTTGCATTTCATCTGTTAATTCACAAGGCCCAGATGGAGTTAACTTCCTGTATCCCTCCAAGATTTTGGTAGAAGGTGGCACATCTCTAAACATGACTTCTGGGATTGAGCCAATGAAAAAAAACTTAGAAGAATCTAAAACGATAATTCCTTTAGTGTGAAAGGTAGAGATTGAAGCCATCAAACTATTTTGCATCACTGGGATCTGGAGCTTTTCAATAGATCGGTGGACTATGAGAGTCCAAAAGCGTGCACAGGAGATTTCACTGTGACGTGTGGTGGAGAGAGTGCTCTGAACAGCTTGAGCCCATAGAACAGATCCATAGTCGATGTTCGAACCTGTGTAGAGACCGTAGAGAATGGCCATGAAGAACTTGCTAGCACAATCCGATCCAGTCACCCTTTCATAGAATCCCTTAAACAGTAAGGTGAAGAGTCCATTCCACTGTGGAGGCAAATTGAGTTTTCTGAACTTTGAGAAGGCAGTTAGGGTTTCTTTGTAACCCATTTGGTAGAACATATCGAGAAGAGCAGCACTTGTCACCGACTTTGGATTGATCATGTCATCAGATTGAGGAAGTTGAAGGAGAGAACAAAATCGAGATTTTGTGATTGAGGTCTTGCGGTTGTGGATCTCGAACGTGATCCTTTGTTCTTCCTTAATGTAGTTTGCTGATGAGTAAGCCTTAGACAGGAGTGAGAGAGGAACATTCTCCATTCTTGAAAGAGCGATTGTGAGAGGAGAATACTTGAGGCATTCGATCATGGGTAGCATGAAGCTATCGTATTTGACTGGATTGAGATCAATCACAAGGTTTTGATGTTGTTTAACAGCCAGAAGAGAAGAATGTGTTGTTTGATCTTGAGCAGAGAAGTTTTCAGATGAAACCGCCATTGATGAAGCTTTGAGGAAGAAGATGAACAGTAGTGCTTTGATCGCCGAATATTTTGAGAGGATTTTGTGAGTGGTAATTAAGAATGCGTCGTCAAAATCCTTTTATACCGTTTGATTTGTGAGAGAAATTCGGAGAGAGAATGCATCGGTTATGGGAACGTCGTCTGAAAAAGTGCGACTTGACAGCTATAGATGTCTGTCCCATACGTCATGCGGCGATAAAGTAGCTGTCGATTCAAATCTTCACGCGCCCATTTGAATTCTTATCAATAGGAAATGCCGTGTTAGCTTTGCCCTTTCGCAGTTGAGAGAGATTACATTCATCTTTCTTGGAAACGAACGTCTTTGATTGAACTGCGAACTTGAAACAAACATAAGTACCACGAACCAGACCTTTTGAAAATCACTAGGATCTTCGTGCAAGAGTGTTAAAGATAGAGAAATAAAACAACACTATTATGTGGGATTTTGTGATGTCTTAATAAAGACATAAAACTGTGGATCCCAGGCAAATATCTCTTCCTTCAAAGTCAAGAGAGACTAAGAAGTGTCTGTGTGGTTTCCCGTTGAAATACGATCAAGTGTTTGATAAGAAACATTGAAAGGCATCTTTTAACTAGGCTTAACGGGTGGCTATTTCTCCAACCAAACAACGAACTTGATATAAGTACGAATGTTAGATGAAGTACTCGTGTGACCAGTGTAGTCAGTTGAACGAGTAGGTTTGGAATTTTTTTGGTGACAAGATTAAACTTTGAAATCTCAAACAAAAAAATTAAAACTGGATCTTATGGGTAGAAGTGACTTGGAATGAGAACACTTCATAAAGATCTCGCAAAAGAAAAAGAGATTCCTTGGTACAGACCACGAAAGTGGCATTCATTAATTCCATGGTGAAAATCTAGAACTTTTAATTGTTCACCGTCAATTCAATTAAGTGTGTTGGATTTTGGGTTTCACTTAGTTCGTGGTGAACGAAGCTAAGATCATTAACACAGAAGTTGTGTAACCATAAACCTCAGTGGTATAGCTGAGAGTCTCAAGGGTTATTTTTATGAGCGCGAAGGCAATAGAGAAGTGTGAAGGTGGTTCTAGAGAAGCGAATGTACCTCTGCTATACGAAAGTGACTAAACAGATAACTCTTATCTCAAAGTGAGAAGAGTAAGGTAGCTCATGACGAATGTGAATTTAACATCCTGGTTGGGAAGAAACGAATGGTAGATTCGATTCATTAAGGCTTCACATCGAGTCAATCGAGGCTTTGGACAACATACAACAGCATTCTTGTAGTGACTTTAGAACATGGTTTGGCATTCGGAATTAAATTTTGCACAATGAACATGGTGATTTGGGTGTTCAAGAGATGTATTGATTGTATATGGTGTTATAAAAAAGGATCTAGTTCTAGACTACATAAATAACACACACTTACACACTCACTTTCACATCTCTCAAGCACACCTCTACAAGTGGTATGAACCCACTACTTATAGAGGTGTTCACATGTCTCTCTTTCACTCTCACTAACACATGGGTCTAAAGGCTAATGCACCACATGCAATTGGGTCTACAAGAGTCAAACCATTACAAAGTCATACATGAAGAACTTTGCACCCCAACATTCTCCCCCTCAAAGTTAGGAATGGATGACCCACTTCAAATCTTCCAAAATCGAGCAACTACGCGATCCGAGCCTTAAAGGTGACACATGTCGATTGGGCTCTTCCATGATTCTTCAATTTGGGCTCTAGGATGTGAGACCATACAATCCGAGCATCAACGAATGATCAAGAGTATCCCAAACTCCAAATAATCACCCTAAAGTTGAGCATAAAAGCACACCCTAAAAATCTTCAATAAAACCAAACCCATTTCGAATACATCACTTCCGAACATCCAATTGCATCATTTCGTAAGCTTCAAAAATTAAGGTCACTTCGGTCTTCAAATCTGCGTAATATGAAAAATTCAAGTTCGAATTTCCATATAAATTTCTCCCCCTTTTTATAATCGAAACTTGATTATAAAACCTTCAAGGAAAGAGAACGTGCTCTATTTGAAATTTTTCATGTCAAAACTCCCCCTTAACATGTGGCATAAACTTTGTGCTTCAATCCGGAAAATCCAAAAAATATTGAATTTTTAGCTTCGTTCACAGATCGCCTTTGACAAAATTTCTCAAAAATGGGTAGAAATTGTCAATTTCAAAATTCTGCAGTGACCCGGTGCGCCTAAAACAGCAAAATATGCAAAACTCTCCCCCTTTTCCAAAGCTGGGTAGAAAGCGTCAATTTGCACAAACTGTAGGGGCCTGAAACGCACTTTCTTCAATTTTCAGTAAAAACAGTCCTTTTTCGAATTTGGGTGCAAACTGCCAAACATTCGAAGCCTCAGGGACTATTTTCGAAAATTCTGCCATTGTGCACCAAACATACGAAGAGTTGACCCAAACATTCAAAAATTCAGAAAATTTTCGAAGTTGGGTGAAAAGTGTCAAACATTCGAAACTTCAATTAATTGTGGAGGTTGCCAAATATTCGAAAGTTCAGGGGCTGAATTCAAAAAATCTGCTTTTTGATCAAAGCATACGAAATTTTGATCGATCATACGAAGCCTTTTTCCAATTGACAACCATTCGAAATTTGAGGGACTACATTCGAAAATTTTTCTTCTCTATTCCAAACATACGAAAATTTTGCATCCAAACATACGAAATTTTTTTTTC